CCCCGTTATTCCATCCTCCTCCATAGACTGCTGATCATCCCTCACATATGCCTCTTCTTTTCACCCTAAATCATGAAAATTCGAAATTTCTCATAATATATAAATATAAGCTACATGAAAAATCCCCATATTATCTCCTCAAGTCCATGTTCAAGATGTTCCCAACCAACCTTGTAATGGTGAGGGATGGTGTGACCTTCCTGTGTGGAATCCCGGGAATACAGAGGACGGGGACATCTCTCTGGTGGGTTCCTGGTATTAGGTGGCTCCATCATATCCTTGTGTCCTTCTGAAAACTCCTCCATCACTCCATACTCCTCATCCTCCTCTTTATACTCTTCTTTAACATCAATATTCTCATCCCCCGAGGATTCCACTCTGAAAGATATAATAAAACATTCATTGTAACAAACATGCTGTGTATAAATCACAACTACCAATAATTGTCATCATCTACCTGATGATGGTGAGGGATGGTGTGACCTTCCTGTGTGGAATCCCGGGAATACAGAGGACGGGGACATCTCTCTGGTGGGTTCCTGTAGCTGGATGACTCCACCATGGTGTCCTGGTACAGATCTTTGTGTTCTTTTAGAAGCTCTGACTCCTCCATCCCCCCATCCTCATCCTCCTCCTCTTTTATCTCTTCTTTAACCTCAACTTTTAGGATCTCTCAGGTTTCCACTCTGAATATATAATAAAAAAAATGACATCAATGGTAACAATGCAGATAATGTACAGATCCTAATGATACTATCAAGAAAATAATAACCACATATCTTTCTAATCAACTAATAAGACATATAATGATGACAAATTCATCGGCTGTAGGGAAATATGTAGTGACTTGTCTATTAGAAATGCCCCAAACAGTATGTGGGTCGTACTCACGAGAAGGTTGAGGGACCGTCTCCGGAGCACATTATAAAATTAAAAAAGGATATAAGGAGCTTCCCTTCCTCACAATACTCTCGGTATAGGTGATATCAGAAGAGAGATCCCTCCTCACTTATGTTCATAGGGATAGATACTATCATCCTCCCTCCGCACTGGAGAGGGACATATAAGACTCGGCCAGTATCCCAACTGGAGACCAAACAAATTTACGAGTTAGGTACCCTGCACCGGGCAGGACTCAATATTGAGTTAGATGTTAATTATTTATCGATAATAGTTAATTTCATTTGAACATTCTTTTAATGTGTACTGTTTTTAGCATAAATATTTTAATTCTTATGTATTATTCTTACCTCCATACTGTTATATTCATATCATATGTGATTTCAGTCTTAGTACATTCGTTAACGCTCATCGGATCTTTTGCCAAATCCTTCTGATGTCCATTTTTTGTTCTAAAATTTTTTTTTTTTAATATTAATAATATTTATTCTATTGACTGATCAGGTTTATGTCATGTGATGTTGGGTTACCTTGATTGCTTAGACTGCTCCGACTGGATCAATGCCTCTCGCTCAGGTACATTTTTTTCTAATGTACAGATCCTAATCATACTATCATGTGATTGTTCCTCATCTACCTGATGATAGTGAGGGATGGTGTGACCTTCCTGTGTGGTGACTGGATCCATCTGTAGGAAACACACACACTGACTGAATCCATTGTTTCTATGTGTTTATCAGATGATGGGGGATCTAGGTGGATCCTCCGTACTGCTCTCTCCTTTACAATAAAGTCTCCTCTTACCCGATGTGAGGGGGCGGCTGATTGTCCATCATGACGTCCTTGTAGAGATCCTTGTGTCCTTCTAAATACTCCCACTCCTCCATGGAGAAATAGACAGTGACACCCTGACACCTTATAGGAACCTGACACACACAATGATACAGTCACCATCCAGACACATCCCTTGTCTGTTACTGGAGAATGTCCCAGAATTCCCGGCACCGCTCACCTCTCCTGTCAGCAGCTCAGTGATCTCTCTGGTGACTTCTAGAATCTTCTTCTTCTTTCTCTCTTCTATCAGGGAGGGAGGTGGAGGCAATGTGATGTCATATGATCTCCAGACTTCACAGGAGGAAAAACTCTACATCTGAACACAAATAGTCACATCAAATGATATTCCCAGAATCCTCCTCACCTCTCCATTCAGGTCTCCATTTTATTAAAGCCCCACTTCAGGCTGAGGTATAATTCCCCCCACAGGACCCCCACACTACGCAGGGTATAAGGAATTCTGACGTCATAACACAACGCAGGATCTACAGTTCTGATTTGCTTATGAGGATGCCAAGGGTCCCCCACATCCTAAGACCATAGAATAAGAAGAAAGGAGATAAATTATTATTATTATACAGGATTTATATGGCACCAACAGTGTGCTCAGCGCTGTACAAAATGAAGGCAGACATTACAGTTACAATACAATTTGGTAGCAGAGGAAGCAGAGGGCCGGCTTGTTAGAGCTGACAATCTAGGAGATCATTCCTTTATGTCTAATACATTTTTAATTCCATCTGTTCCATGTTACATGTCAGTGATGGTGATGTCACAGTGTCCATGGTAACCCCACGGGGCCATCCAGTCTTGTTGTTTCTGCTATGTTAGCCTTCAGTTCCATCCTTTCCCAGATATCTTCATTTATGTCCTTTTCTAGCTCTCCTGTCCCTGATGCCAGTTACCTACAAACCAGTTTTTGATGCCAAACTTCCATTTAGGATTTGTCAGTCTTTTAGTCTTTAATGCCATTTTAGTCATCTGAATTATTTTAGTTTTAGTCGTATTTTAGTCGACTCAAATAGTTTAGTCAACAAAATGAACACGGCTTGAAACTGCAGCCGAGGGCCGGCCGGAAACAGCCCTTTGCTTGCCTTTATCTAGCCCCTGGGGCACTATTCCCCCCATTGACACCAATGATGGGGCATCATTTCTGACTCTTACACCAACAATAGATCACTATCTCCCCCCCACCAATACCACCGATGGGGCACTATTCCTTCCACTGACATCAACCACAGGTCACTATTCCCCCATTGACACCAATGATGGGCATCACTGACTCTTACTCCCACTGATGCCAGATCACTTTCTCCCTACCTGTACCACATCAGGCACTATTCCCCTGAAGTTGAAGACAGTAAACTGGCCCTCATTTTTGTTTGGACCCCAATAGATCACTATATCGGTCCCACCAATACCATAGAGATTAGGGGACTATTCCTTCAGTGTGATCAACCATAGGATCACTAGACTCTGGATGGAGGGACATTGATGGGAGGAGCTGTGAGGTCAGTGTGATGATCATAGGATTCTTTCTGACTCTCACTGTCCACATTGGGAGGAGGAGCTGAAGGTCTGAAGATGTCATAGGATTCTCTGACTTGGATGGAACAGTTGGGAGGAGGAGCTGTGAGGTCGGTGTGATGTCATAGGATTTTCTGACTCTGGATGGAGGGACATTGGGAGGAGCTGTGAGGTCAGTGTGATGTCATAGGACATCTCTGACTGGATGGAGGGACATTGGGGGGGAGGAGCTGTGAGGTCAGTGTGATGTCATATAGGTCTGGATGGAGGGACATTGGGAGGAGGAGCTGTGAGGTCAGTGTGATGTCATAGGATTCTCTGACTCTGGATGGAGGGACATTGGGGGGAGGAGGAGCTGTGAGGTCAGTGTGTGATGTCATAGGATTCTCTGACTCTGGATGGAGGGACATTGGGGGGAGGAGCTGTGAGGTCAGTGTGATGTCATAGGATTCTCTGACTCTGGATGGAGGGACATTGGGAGGAGGAGCTGTGAGGTCAGTGTGATGTCATAGGATTCTCTGACTCTGGATGGAGGGACATTGGGAGGAGGAGCTGTGAGGTCAGTGTGATTTTAGAATTCTCCATCCCCCGCAACTAATAAAAGTGGTATAATCCATTAGTATAGACTGATGAGGTGAGAAGGTGACACCTCTCCACAATGAGGAGAATGTTCCGGCCCCGGAAGTGGGGGAATGTTCTGCCCCTGAAGGGGTTATCTGGGTTCCCACACTATATATGTGTGTATCATCATCTGCTGGAGATAAAAGACGTCACAGTGACTATGGAGGAAGAGGACGGACATGACTATGGAGGAAGAGGACGGACATGACTATGGAGGAAGAGGGACGGACGTGACTATGGAGGAAGAGGACGGACATGACTATGGAGGAAGAGGACGGACTATGGAGGAAGAGGACGGACGTGACTATGGAGGAAGAGGACGGACGTGACTATGGAGGAAGAGGACGGACGTGACTATGGAGGAAGAGGACGGACGTGACTATGGAGGAAGAGACGGACGTGACTATGGAGGACGACTATGGAGGAAGAGGACGGACGACTATGGGACATGACTATGGAGGAAGAGGACGGACGTGACTATGGAGGAAGAGGACGGACGTGACTATGGAGGAAGAGGAAGGACGTGACTATGATGGGGGGTTACTGGGGGGGGTTACTGGTTGCAAATAGGAAATCTCTTAGATTGTAAGCTCCAAGGATCAGGCACTCAAATCCTCTTTGTATTGATCTGTATTGTCTCCCGTTATATTGTAAAAAGTGCTGAGAAAACTGTTGGCGCCATAAATCCTGTATAATAATATAATAATAACATCTTATTACCTCCTCTGCTGCCACTTCCACCAACGTCTCCTCTCTGCTTCCTCCTGCCTCACCTCTCACCCCTGTGTGTACCTGACATCACTTCCTGTCTGTACCTGACATCACTTCCTGTCTGTACCTGACATCACTTCCTGTCTGTCTTCCATAGAGACTTCCTGTCTGGGTAGAAGTGAGATCCCCACCTTGTGGAGCTCAGAGGAACTGCAGCCCCGAGAAGCGTCTGGTAGTGTGACCCCGGCCTTGTGCTGGGTGTGTATGGACTGTAGATCCTTATAGAGGGGTCACCTCCACTCCCACCAAGGGGGACAGAAATATATGACTGCCTAGTCCAGCCTTCTCAGTCAGGGTTCCTCCAAAGGTTTCTCGGGGCTCCTTCAGCAATGAACAATTCCTGTGTGAATCTGTCAGATTACAAGTCCCCATTATCTGGGTAAGGGGGTGTCAATCATCGCACGTCGCTGACATTTATAAATCTAGAGCAGAGTATGAAATGTTCTGCAGATGACATTTCCCTCCCGGATTCCTTCCCCCAGACCCCACAGTACATAGCGCCCCCTCCTGTATTGTGGGGGGACTCTGGAAATGAAGTTTTATCGGCAGCTCAATGTGTGTCATTATCGGTCACTCTGCTGTCACACCCCATCCGGTGTTCCCAGGTTTGTGTTAGTAGAAGAACATCATGTGACCGTGTATTCCTGGAACTCTTCACACTCAGCCGATGCGGGGCCGCTGCATTTTTCAAAGTCCTGCTTGTTGCATTTTTGCTGCAGGTTTGGGGTGTGGTAAAAACGCTCCAAGAACGCCCCTCCCCATTGAAATCAATGGAAACCGCCGCAGAACAAACCAACAATGCCCCCACGGTGAGGGTTTGGTGCGGATTTTGAGTCACATGATCTTTAAGAAGTGCAATGCAAACACGGTAAAAACATGGCAGAAATGCAGCAAAAAGTCATACGTGTCCCGCGGATCAGTGTGGGAGGAGCCTTCATGTCACTTTTGTTGCAGCACATTCTACAGTGAGAATGGAAACAATTCATAAACCCTCCCCCCACCTCAACAAAACGCATCCCAGACTCCTACACACTGCAAAACCAGCTCTGGCAGTGAGAGGGTTAATGTGGGCTAGATGGGATCCCTCTGCTGGGGTGACATTAGAGCTCCCCCTAGCTGCAGCCTGGTAATAACATTGCTGGGAGGTCTATTCATTTCTCTGCTCTCATACTTCCCGTCTTTATATCTGAATTCCATCTTTATATGAGCAGAAAATGAATGGAATAGTAAATCTAATCACAATCACCAAGTCCCCCCCACAGAGTACTGCTCACCAAGTCCCGCCCCCACAGAGTACAGCTCACCAGTACTGCTCACAAGTCCCCCCCCCACAGAGTACTGCTCACCAAGTCCCGCCCCCCCACAGAGTACTGCTCACCAAGTCCCCCACAGCCCCCCCCCACAGAGTACTGCTCACCAAGTCCCGCCCCCACAGAGTACTGCTCACCAAGTCCTTCCCCCTGCTCACCAAGTCCCGCCCCCACAGAGTAGCTCACCAAGTCCTGCCCCACCACAGAGTACTGCTCACCAAGTCCCCCCCCACAGAGTACTGCTCACCAAGTCCCGCCCCCACAGAGTACTGCTCACCAAGTCCCGCCCCCACAGAGTCTTGTTCTCCCAAGTCCAACCCCCACAGAGTACAGACACATAGAAGGGAAATGGGTGCTAATAGGCTGCGGGAGATCCGCTGAGACATAGAGAGGGAAATGGGAGCTAATAGGCTGCGGGAGATCCGCTGAGACATAGAAAGGGAAATGGGTGCTAATAGGCTGCCCGCTGAGACATAGAGAAGGGAAATGGGTGCTAATAGGCTGCGGGAGATCCGCTGAGACATAGAGAGGGAAATGGGAGCTAATAGGCTGCGGGAGATCCGCTGAGACATAGAAAGGGAAATGGGTGCTAATGGGCTGCGGGAGATCCGCTGAGACATAGAGAGGGAAAATGGGAGCTAATGGGCTGCGGGAGATCCGCTGAGACATAGAGAGGGAAATGGGAGCTAATGGGCTGCGGGAGATCCGCTGAG